ACCTGACTTAAACCTAACATTACAAAAAATCTTTTATTTAAAAAAGTCATAACTCATATATTTATCGTATCGTCGTACATACATACCAATTTTAGTGATAGCTAGTCATATGTCATTCTACATTTTTATATAACCTATACATCCTACCAATATTTTTTTTTATTTTTATTTATATAATTAATTTAAACCTTTTGGTTTAAATTAGTTATATAAATAAAAATAATCCATTAAGATGTATACCAAGGTTGATGTGTATGTGTAACTCATATTATGTTTATCGTATCGTCGTACATACATACCAATTTTAGTGATAGCTAGTCATATGTCATTCTACATTTTTATATAACCTATACATCCTATCAATATTTTTTTTTATTTTTATTTATATAACTAATTTCAACCTTTTGGTTTAAATTAGTTATATAAATAAAAATAAACCATTAAGATGTATACCAAGGTTGATGTGTATGTGTAAAAAGTCGTCTATTTCAATTTTCAATCTGTTTGGGTTGTACGATGAGATAAGGCTTTCAAATTACAGGTTACGAGGCATGACATCTTAGTCCTCCAGAATGGCAATGTAAGATTGTTATCACCGTGTTACATGATAACGTGATGTTCGTAGTGCAGTTCATGTGTATAGGCGACGGATTCCATTTACAATCTGATAAGCAGAAATAAAATATTGTCGAGTATTTATTATTGATACTATAATATCACAATATGTATTATAATTTGCATGTATCTTCACATTTGAATTGTATTTTCAGTCTCTACAGATGCTTTGTTCATTGCAAAACAAATTTTATGTTAGTGCCATTGTTTGGTATTTAAATCATCCGATCAGCTGATAATAAACGTTCAACCTTTCACGATGTCTAACATATTGCTATCGGTGCAGTGGGTTGTTTGCTGTTTGTAATATTAATTGTATTGGAAACTTCATTTCGAATTCTATGAGAAATTTTGTGCACCGTTTTCTTTATGAATTCCTAATATTTTGTTATTATAACTAGTTACTATTCATTCTAATTACAAATATTATATAATTGTTATATTTTAGTGTAAAATATAACAAATTATAGTACAGATATTTTTTATGGAATTATGAATGATAAATTCATTTGTATATGAGAAATTATTTTTGGTACGTACGTACATATTAGATTCAGATGCACCTCATGTAGAGGAAACATAATCTGTAAAGCCATAATAAAATAGATGAGATAAATGTACCTATGCTCTGCATCCCATATATCTCTGTTCGTCCGTACTCTATTTTTTATTATGTTCAATTCTTCTTTTATATACTGACACCGGTATTTTTAATGTCAGCCAAGTATCTATTTGGCAATCTACCAAAACTCAACAGTTAGTCCGAATTATAGCGACAGATGATACTATTTTTCATCTTTTTTATAGTTCTTTCGTGATCTGTATTTAAAGAATATACGTAATTACGCTTATTCATGTTCTTATTAGCAGTAATTGCGACAATTCTCATATCAATACTAATATTATAAAGATAAAGAGCGGATTTTATTATGAAGAAAACAGATAAGATACTGTAAACTCCGGAAATGTTGTGGAAATAATAAATACAAAGTTCTAGTCGATTATTTTTTAAATTTACCGTATATTTAATGTAAGCTTACATACATTTTTATGAGGCAGTTGATTGATTTATTATCTCACATTACGATAAGGCTAAGACTACCTGAATTTCTATGTAACTATGAGTAGACACCGCTATAACATGTATAGATAAGTTTCTTTTTTACTATTATCAGTCCTATAAATTGATGACGAGGTGGAAGATGAAGCTTATGGACCCGTAATCGATACGTAATCTGTTAACTTTGCCTTAGAAATTATAGAATATGATTTCAGGAAATGTAAAAAATTGCTGGGAAAAGAAGACGCTAATCGTTTAGAATCAATAGTAGAATGAGAAATAAATTGATTATTATTTACTACGATTTTGTTTCTATTACTATATTGTTAATACGTATATTAATAATAATCACTATGGAAATGGGACTACCCATACTATGTATCGAATATTAATACTTGTGCTAAGTATGCTGAAAAATTGTTAATTTAAAATGTTGAAAAATCAATATACAGAAAGAAGAAATTCTCCATCCCCTTGCTTACTTTTCCACAATATACGTGATTCCTTTTGAAAAACTAGATGTTTCATGTATCGAAAATATTTGATGCTGAATTTGTTTAAATGTCTATATTTTTGGCAGTTTGACTGTAAATTAAGTTCATTTGTGATTTATTTCCTCGCCACACTAATAAATTTTACTCACCTGGTAAAGTTTTTGCCTCAAGCAAGTGAGCAAGTATTCGTGGGCGATTGCGTAGTTGGTTATGTCGTGGATAAGTGTAAGTTTGAGTTATGGTTTAATTAAGGAAGAACCCCGCTGGACCGCCTCGGCTTTATTATACAAGACAAGAAATTGGATGGGCCCGTAATGGCGATGCAAATATGTTTAAAATTACCTATATATAGTATAATAGTTATATTTGTATACTATTTTATATTCTTCGTCAATGGAAATGTTATGGCAGTTCTTGGTGTATTGAAATCTTTTATTTTTTTCACCGTTTTATAATTACTCAGAGTGTCTTCAAAATATTAATTTTGTATTTTATCTAGTGCTGTTTATATATATAGGCGACGGTTACCGATTACCATCAGTTTGATTGTCACTTCATTTACATTAAAAGAAATCATTTTAAAAATGTAGAAAAAATTTAATAGTGGAAATGGATTTGTGGAATGTTTTAGTGAATGTCAGATTATACAGTTTCGTTCAATTATTTTTAATCACTATCTCATTAATTGGTTAAAAGATTCAAACTTTCACACAGCAGTGGTAGATTTCCGATGATTACATTTGCGTATGTCCAGTAACTGTTAGTTTAATGGTTCGCAAGCGCGTTTTATAATGTAATCGTACAGTATTCAAAATAATTACTAGTCTTAGAAGTAATTACTTGGTAATTTAATCATTAGTTTCATTTTTGCGTACTAGCAAAGGTAGTTAATAGAATGCGGCGATGGTTCATCACAGTAGCTATAAATCTGCCGTCAACGGGAGAGTTCGTTATTAAGTCGTCAACAAGAATTATAGTTCAACAGCAGCGGGCAATTGCAGTTAATGGTGATTCTGCGATTATTGGTTAGAAAAGCAGTAATAAATTAGATGAAATGGGCATACCACTTGTTTGCTCGACATGTTTGTTTTGAAGATCGTCGATGCAAGTAATGAGTTCAATACAATCGTTTTAGATTTACACATATTCTTCGTCTGCATTAGACTTATCAGTATATATCTATGTCTTATTCTGATGTATAAGCTATGTTACTGTAAAGTTTAATCAAAATCCGTTCAGTAGTTTTGCATAAAAGATTAACAAACATTCATCCATACTCACAAACTTTCGCATTTATAACTTAGTAAGATTACAAATACCTAGAAACAACATAATATTTTAAATAAATTGTATAATTTATTAAATAAATCATGTTTTGTACAGTTCCCTATAAAAATTATTGTTCAAATATATGCATTTTATTTTATAGATTTGTCGTTTACATGAACTTTGAGTAGTATCTTCAACATTTTGATAGTAAAACTTTTTTGTAACGTTCCAGCTATGGAGTCGCTAAGTTTTTTGTCAACGACAGAACGACAAAAAATAATGATATGTGTTCATCTCGGTTTAGTTGTGGGATGCATGAATGTCTCGAGTGTGACCAGAATGCGCAAGTTAAAGATAAAGGACCGTTGTTTCTATCCTCGTATAATTTATCTTATCGCTAGTTATATTTTTATGTCGATCTAAAGATATGCGTAGCCAAGTACTGTATGACATTTCTTAGCCTGAAAAATATAATAACTTGCCTTTATCATTATTTTATGGCTTCGTAGCGGTCTGTCCCAAGTTTCTGTTCTTTTTCTATTTATTTTTGTCGATCAACATATAGTCAATATAATGCTAATTTCATATTAATTAAAAACATAGTATATGGTTTAACGAAATACCAGAACCGTTATCCATGAATAATACTTTTTTCCTGGTTGATTTATATATTTGTAAGTATGTAATGTATATATTAGTATGTACCTAAGTGTATATGGGCAGGATGTGCTTCTCAAATGAAAGATTTTTTTATAAATGTCCATCCAAACGAATTGTTTTTAAAATTCTCTCTTGATAATTAGATATAGATTTAGATAGTTGTTGTCGTAGTAGACAGTATTACTATACTGTCTACTGCGACAACAACTATCTATACACACATTATATATATATATAATGTGATTACTATCACATTATCAATAATATTAGTGTATCATTATGTAAAATTACATTATGTGTGTATTTAGAAAAAATAAATGTTTCTATGGATTTGTTGACAGTTGTTGACAGTTGTCTAGTAATAAATAACACAAGCTCTATTTAGCTTTGAACTACATGGAGTTGTGAATTGTCCTGAAATATTATTATTTATTATCTTTATTAATGTTTAGTTACATTCAGCTAATTACTTAAGAATTGGTTTATAACAATACGTCTACTAAAATATAATACCTATTCCATTAATTGTAATGTTTTTACAATCCGATAAAGAGAAGATAAATTCTGAAGCAGCGTAATTAATCTGTCATTTCATCCTTAAAACTTTATCTCGGGTCCCATCATCGCGCCGGCGGACAAAAACACTTCACTTGATATTAATGAACCCACTTGTGTATCTAATAGACTTTCACCATCGAACAAATAATTAACATTGCGAGATTTTGGTGCGTCTCATATGAGTGACAGTGAGGCGTGTTCGTATTTAAGTGTTAACATGCGCATATATCACCGTTCGACTTGATACACCTGCGAGGCCACGCCCACTTTGCTTCGGTCCCCTTCGCCCCTGTTCACCCCCTTAATCTTCAGCTTAGCATCATCAAGATACCATTCCACGTTGAGACGCCATCGTGTACGGCAGTCGGTGCCGTCCGTCTCCGTTTACGTAGTGTTTTGTAGCGAGTGTGTGAATAACATTTTGTGTTTGCGTACCTGTTTTGTTTTGCGTTCCAGTTTTATTACTATCTTACTGTAAGTTAATAACATTATTTTTAATTTTAATTATATTTATTTTTTAGAGTTTAAAGCGTTTTTTTTATTTACTACAATTAATTAGATCTATTTTTAAAAATTGTCATACAGTAAGACGTCATTTAAACAGTTTCGTAGCGGATTTTATTGTTTTGGTGCAGTTTATTAAATAGCTTATCGGAAACCTCGAGTAGCCGAGAATAACTTCCTCTGGAATGATAACGCGTCCATTAATTATAAGAACTTCAACCGAGATAAAATTTAATTGCATAACACTATTTCATCAAGTTATAGTACTTAGATAAACATGTCTTACATTGTTATAGAATTATGAAAGTTACTTTTTGACTTGTTGCTTCATCAGGGGCGGAGTCATAGAATCGCAGTGGTTTATACGCAAGCGCGAAATGTACGCCTTTTTGGTTTACCAGCAAAGTATTCTAAGAATTATTAATGTCCGTTATTGCTTTCTTTTTTTAACTAGTTTATCATCAGTTGAAATTACTTCCGATGTTACAGAAGATCTCACATGGAAACTGTGATAATATGTCGATTGTCGTTATAGTAACGAGAACTGAATACAGTATTGTTTATTATAAACAGTGAGAACCGACCATGTAGATATTATTATTACAAAGGAATTTTATCATGAAATATCGATTTGACGAGTTTTATTAGTAGGTGTAATATAAATTGTAAGTCCATTACAGCCTCAATTCCAATACAGGTGAAAATATACAACAAATGGCAATGATTTCTAATTATATTTTATTAGAAACGGATTTTGTTTCCTACTGTTGGAATTAAAACAAATATTTTTTTGTATTACCCAAGAAATGATAAAAAGAGCCTTATTCTTATTGATTCTTAGGAACTAGAATTAAAATTTGTAAGCTAATAAAGCTATCATCCGGTTTAGTAATGTAGTAATTATTCAGTAATTTGTATATTGCTATACAAATTATATATCATTTGTTTAGATATGCTCCTTTTTATACTTGCATTCATCATACATTTTTTAACTCCTCTAAGTATGTCGTTAATTTTAATTTAACATTGTTTTAAACTTTTTCACGGCTGTTTTGAATTATAGAAATGAGATATTTATCATAATAATTTCATCAAAATGCTCCTGTTAAAAATAATCTAGTTATATTACGATCTAGGAACCTACTTGGTAGTAAATAGTGACCGTAATCAGCGTTTAAAAAATGGGGATGCCTTATTCGTTCTGCTAAATCTGATTCAAAGTGCCTTAATAATATGTGTCATCATTCTTCCCACTGAGGAAATTTGGACTGGAATTTGAAAGGAAATTGAACTGCAATGGAAACAAGCAAGAATATTTGATGAAAAATGCTATCCGTCGTCAATACATATGAACGATGGAGCACGCATGTCACAAAATACATTCTAACGTCTGTAATATCCCTTATCAAATACAATTCCTGGGAATAAAGATGTCATTTCTGTATAATCTGTAGTATCAGCGCCATATATTATTACCCTTCAGATATATGTAAAAATGTATACAGCTTATGAACAAGCTACTTGACGGCAGAAATAGATGAGACGGAGTTTTCGAGGATTTTGACGACTAAATCACCTCCTGTGAGATTCTATCTGATATCTATCGTAATTGCTTAAAATCTAGCCAAGCATAAATCAAGCATATTTATATTGTAATTTCTTCGACTCGGAGAGTCCTAGTTTGCAATTTTTTATTAGACATAGTTGCGTGGTTCGGTCAACTTACTTTTAAATTATTTTGTTCGTAATTCAGCCCGCTCTTATGAACTAACGAAATCCAAATTACAACCAATATAAGATGATCCATTCATTATAATCCAAACGTTACACTATGTACTTTACAAAGTTATATCAATGTGTCTGCATTGCGTGGGCGGCGCGCCGAGGCACCACGCTCACTGTTTATGAGTTTTATGACTGCTAATAGCCAATAATGTGCACCTCTTGACTCCGAACGCGGGGGGTTAACTTATTGGTGCTATGTAGGAAGCCGTTTGATACCTCGATGACCTTGTTGGTGTTCGATAACTCTGGATACCGTACTAAGTAAATTACAATTGATGCATTGATGTGTCGTTGTTAATTTATTGATGAGAATACTGCCAATTTGAGGCAGTATAGTAGGTACCTTATTAGATGTTATTGATGGATATAGAGCAAGAAAAACAATATGCGTATTATAAATATCTAGAGTCATCCATGTAACGAAATATCTTCTCAATTCAACATTGCATTCAACATGCTTTTATTAAATTAGTGCAGTACACCCTGAGTAGTGATCATATTAGCAAAATATAGGTTTTACTTACTTAGTTATTTTGGGAATAACGCATTGAAGAATTAATGCATTAATGTTACTACTAATTATTCTAAGTTTCTTTAATTATTACAGCAGTAATTAATGAATATATGAATTAAGTAAAATCCTCTGTTAATTATTAATCTTAATTTTTTTTATATACCTGAAATGTTAATTGTTTTGTTAATGTATTATTATACATATATTTATAACTTACACCATCAATAAACATTTGTTTCAAAACAATTATTAATTTCGCGTTTGATTATAGTATATTATTGAAGGATTTATTATCGCATTCAGATGGATAGATTCTTTTGTTATATCTACATTTATTATGTGTATGTAATTTCACAATTACATTAACAGAGACATTAAATAAGTTTTTTCACACCCACTTCAACAAAGAAATGGTTCTAGAATCAACTGTAATTGTGCAGTTTTCTCTCTTGTGTCAAGAATTTCTCGATTGTCTTCATTGTATTCGCAGCCTTCAGATATGGTTAACCGGACAACATCTATTTGTAGGCTGTATCTTAACTTAGATGTCGGATATACATTGTTAATTAATGTTTGTATGATATTATGGATGTTAATTGCAGTAATTAAACGTAATTATTATAATTAAAGTTTTTGAGTTCGGATATTGAATATGCTTACATAGGATTGAACTCACTAGCTAGTAATTTTGCCAGTAATAACTACTGACTAAATTGATTTATTACTTTATTTTAAAATTATAATTAACTTTATCGGGGAGACTACATCACATTAAACATTAATAAACATTGTTAATAAGAACGAAAAATTAAGCAGGCACTATTTGTGGTACTTACTCGTTTTATTTGTCAGAGGTGGAATGAATCCGCCTATGACTAAAAAATTAGTAAATAGCTTGAATAACAGCAGCACCTATCATGTTCCTTGAAGTGATTATAATTATATTGTGTGTATATTTCAACCAGTAAAGTTCTACTTTATCGAAATTATTTGAGAACAGGGCAGTATATTTTCTCGCATTGGCCGTATACCATATCTACAATTCAACATAGTTTAACATGTTTCATACTTTCTTCGGTCGGTCTTCTCTTTCTACATTTGTATAACGTAGAAGGAGAAGACCTGTAAGTAGTAATAAGTTTATATTTTATACAGGTATTGAATATAAATATAATATCTGGTACTGGTAGCAGATACCATTTAAAGTCAACTTTATACATGTTGTAAATTTCATTTAGAATCAATTAGAAAGCTACACTGTTTACTCATTGACTTTAAAGAAAATGCAATTGAGCGCGTGCGCATGTCACCACGTCTTTAATCTTTTAGCTAATAGCTAAGACGTGACCATATATGTCCGCATCTCGAACGTTAATCTGCGATACCTTAAACTCGTCCGACTTAATGTGTTGCTGATTGTATACCTAGTGTTTCTGCTTCTATTACCGTTTTAGCCTACAGCTATGTAAGTCTATGTATACTGTACTTTACTAGTATTAGTACCGCTTATTTTGGTATGACATAACATTATTTTTATTTTTAAATTTAGCCTGTATTATAGTAATTGTTTCTATTTAGCTAACGACATATAAAAATGGTTGGTAGTGTTACTTTTATAAATATAGATAACATATAGGTGTTATTATTATAACTAATATAACTCATAAACATTGGGAAAAACGTAAAAGTAGATAAAACATAAATTTATTTAAAAAAATCTATGTTAATCAGAATGTTCTCTTAAGTAAAACTTGATGCCCTTTATTTAAAATATGAATGATAAACTTATATTAAATTTATAAAGGTTGTCTCCTTCTGGTATAACATTGAATTTACCAGATGTACCGCGACAGAAGAATTTATGTGAGATCACGTAACAGTAACAAGATTTGAAAGTAAACTATTCGTAAGTATTTAAAATAATACAATTTGCTATAATGTTGTGAGCTCAAATAACTTTCCAAATAAGACATGCATTCGTCATAATTTGATGGGGCCACTAACCTCCCGTTTAGGGGCGTGTGTTAATAAACAAAAAAATACTGTACAGTCGAAACAAACACCCGCGGCGGCAACCAAATCCGGAACTCAAAAATCGTAACATCGTTCACGATTTCGACGTGAATAAAAAAAAATCAATGATATAGAAGAAAGTATAACTGATATAATCGATTTAGCGACTCGGCTGAAACGACGGGAAGTCTTCAATTACATGAAATATACTGTACGTTGCTTTCATGATGCATGAGTAACATCCGGTAAGGGACGCATCTGTCGTATCGCATCTCCTCCGCCAATCGTAAGTTGATGTCATCGTTAATTATCGCATTACACGGTGAACGCCTCGTTCATTCTAGTACCTAATTGAGACTAAACAGCAGAGGGTCTAACCGTTTCATCGAATGAAAAGTTATCGAAATCGTGGATAGGAACATTATCCATACGTAGTGTACGTATGGATAATGTTCACTTAAATGACAAAATGATAATTCACTTTTTGGTTATTACACTATACTAATTAATGTCTGAGTACACTAATCTTATTTGTAGTAGTTATGCTTTTTATTAATTAAAAATATCATTAAACTGGTAAGGCTATTTTATCCGCGTTGTTGAACTCTAATAAGGATATTGAATATATATTACATCTATCAAACCCGACTACGTATAT